TAATTCTTAGATTTTAAGCACAAGAGACCAAAACAATAATGAATTGTAACCAGAATGACCAGAACCATAATAAATTGTTAATTATAAAGATGAAAATAACAATAAATTACAAACTATAGGGACAAAAACTGTAACTTCTAAATCACAGGGACAAAAATTGCATTTTTTTAAACAAACTACAAGGACTAAAAACATAATTTACTCCTAAATTTATATAGCCTACACGAGTTATATGGGAAAGTGATTTAAGATTGCCATTTTCAGGTGGTTGCAGAAAGAACCCAAAGCAAAACAATGGCTTTCATTTTTAAGCAACCAATTGTGGAGTTTGGTTTCACGAAAGTGGGTTTCTCAACATGTTTAAACTTTCCATCGTTGGTGTCCATCAGAGAGACCAAAACCTACTTTTACACCTGCAAGAAAACACAGACCAAAGTAGGAGGAAATGTCCATTACAATTGCAGATCCATTGAAGAAGAACTTCATGGAATCATGGCCTATATCGATTCCTCATGACCATAAAAAACGAAAACCAAAATGGATGGGTAGTGGTGCCCTTATAATTTTTGATCTGTAGATGGTATTTATTGAAATTGAAGTTGTAGGTTTTCGAATCAGAAAAGCCTTTGTTCTTTGATATGAAGGTCGGTGTCACAGGGAGGAGATGGGTGGTTGTGGCGGCGGTTGATGGAGTCATCAGATGGAGATGGGTGGTTGTGTTTGGTGACGGGATGAGGATGCGTAGGGGGGGCAAGGTGATAGAGACGAGTAGGGAGAGGAGGCGATGGACGAAGGGGGTCAGGACTAAGGCACTGATTTGGGAGGTCGTCGACAATGGATGGGGGCACGATGAAGGCGGTCACAGTTTAGGTTTATATATGTGTAGATATTATTCTAATAGGATTGTGTTTCAGTGAAAATGAGAGTTAAGGTGAGAAACGTAAAAAGAGATTTCCATTCTTAGATGCACATTAGGATGAGATGCACCGAATCAATTTTCGCATGAAGCATCATTCACCGCGGGGATGAGATATTAAAGGTGATCAAGGGTCCAGATCTCTTATTACGCTTCTCATTTTAACTCTCTTTCTCACACGATCTTTCGCGCATACTAATATACATTATGACGAAGGATCATGTGAGAAGGGAAATTATGATAAGAACATAAGAAGAGATCTGAACCCGTGATCACTTTTAATCTTCTCTCCACCTATGAATTACGTTTTAGAAGGGAATTGATCTGGTACATCCCGATGCACTACATTAGTGTTGACATTCAATTAAGAATTATCCAAGTATGAAGATAACTTCTTATTATTCTCATCATAACTTCTTTTCTTTTTGGAACTCAACCCTATACATCATATAATATAATAACATATTACATTTTTAATTTCTTAACCCTATACAGTATATAATATAATAAAATATTACATTCTTATTTCTTAAACGAAATTAAAAGACCAAAATAATTAGGAGTTGACCAATTTATAAATAACCGTTAGTCTCAGAAACCAGAAACCAAAAAGGAAGTAAAATGCAAACTACAGGAACTACATATGTAATAATAAAAACCAAAGAGAAAAACCAAATATTTCTATTTATCTATCTATTGAGTCGAAATGTGAGCATGTTTGAAAAAGGATCTTAGAGTGTCTAGGGTTGGGATAGGAGCGTCTCTTAACGTCTTCTTTTTTAATAAATTAGACAAAAAACATAATTTACTTTTTTATTAATTAGATTTTAAAACATAACCACTTTATAATGAAATTATATAGATGTTAAGTCATGTAACTAATTTATCCTCGCAAAATCGTTTGAATTTTAAAATATTCATTGTTTTAAACCAGATTGATTATTAGAAAATAATTATAATAATTTCAGAAAATACTTATTACACTTGAAAATGTCGATATTAATTCAAAAAATTATAATTTTTTTTTTTTTTTGCATATTTACAAACACCATAAAATAAAGGTTTTTATATCAAAGTCTAACCATTGTTGAAATCGTTTAACTTAATATTAAGTAATTGTTTCTCATATTATATATTTTTAAATATTGATTTAAAAAAATTATATTTAATTAAAATTTAGTTAAAATAAAAACATATTATTAAATTAAAAAAATATAAGGTCTGATAGTTGATAAGTTGATTCATAAATTAGTCATGTTTAATAAAAATTACCCGATAAGATAAATAATGATATAAAAAGACGAAATACCTTGTGCAAACAAGTATTTCTAATAGTATGAACAATAAATATTAGAGTAAATAACGAATTTGGTACATGTGGTTTGTACTTTCTATCACAGTGGTTCCAAAATCAAAATAAATATAGACATGAGACACGTGGTTGATATTTTCGCACTCATTTAATCCCTCCCTCTAACGAAATAACAAAAATTCTGTTAACCTAGTCAAATAAGGGATTACTTTAGTCTTTTTATCCTTAGTTTTGTCTTTATCCTAATTATATTTCTTTTTTAAGATTTTTTTTATCTTTAAGAGTAAACTTATTTTCCTTGCCCCTCTCTGTCTCCGGTCTCCTCTCCTTCTTGTGGCAAGATTTTCACCCACCACTCCCCCTCTCACGACCCATTTCTCCGACGAGCCTCCCTTTCCCCTTCGGCGACCCTCTTTCCCTCTTCTCCTCCCGGGTCTTTCTCCCCTCCCTCCNAAAAAAAGTAAACTGTCAGAAATTGAAAAATATCTGACAGAATTAGACTTAAAGAGCTAATTAAGAGTTGAATCTCAAAAAACAAACAACCCCCTTTCCCTCCCCTTCTCTATTCTTTCCGTTCACCTTTGCAACATCTTCAGCTAATGGATGTAAACGGAAAAAAGCTTTATAAGTACTTGTTAATGGAGTTGAATTTACTAAGTTCTGAGGAGTTGGTATCCAGTTATGTTTAAGTGCTGCATATATGTTTCCTCGAGCCATATTTTCTAAACRAACCAAGGCCAATCCAAATTGCTCTTGTAAAAGATCTGCCACAGAACGAATACGTTTATTTTTCAAATGATTCATATCGTCAAGTGTACCCATTCCAAATTTTATTCGAATCAAACGATCCGCGGCTGCCAATATATCTTGCGGTAACAAAAATGTATTGTTCTGGGGTATATCAAGGTTCAGTCTCCGATTCATATTTCGTCGACCAATCCCTCCCAATTCACATCTTTGTTGAAAGAATTTTTTTTGTATCAAATTTTTGTCACATATTTTGATGGCCATGGATTTTGGTGGAGTCCAGAGTTCATAAAAATCGATAGAGTACTTACATGTTTCTTTGTTTGGATTTCGTTTTCGCCATTAAAAGATCAAGGGTATTGATTGAGGTTTCTTGTTGATTTGGTTTTCACCATTAGTGGAGATTGATCTGGTGCTCCCATAAACACTAATTAATGGGTATTTGAAAAGTGAATAAAAGACTCGAATCATCGGCTTCCATCTCTTTGCATCCTCTCAATACCACGTACCAACCAAGTTTATGAAGTTAGTATGGTAGTACCAACCAATTGAATTGGTACGGTTGGTAATGCAATTGATTGGTTTGTCATGGTACAAATTTAACACCTATTTTTTGGTGCGATTTCAAGATTCAGAAAGTAGGGAAGGAGATGGAAGGAACCCACATATGTGCATGTGTGTATATATGTGCATATATATAAAGTAAACTACCGACTTGGTCCTTGTAGTTAGAGATAAAATTAAGGGTAAAAAGACTAAAAATACTCTCTTATTTAACCATGTTAACGAAATTTTTGTTATTCTATCAGAGGGAATGAATCAACAGTGCAAAAATGTCAATCATGAGTCTCATATCTGTATTTATTTTGATTTTAAGACCACTGTAAATATAAAGTATAAACCACAAACCAAATCCGTAATTTACTCTAAATATTAACTTATAAAATACTAAATTGGTTTAAAATTTGAAAGATGACAAAATTAAAGGCCATTCTTGATTACAAATGGGGGTGGAAGGCGGCTTAGTGAGCTCGCTGCTACCAAGCTAACTGCGGTTTATATTTCGTTAAACCCTGGTTAACTTCACTCCTCTTTCCCTTCTATATAATCACTCTCCTTTACTTCCATAAGGAAATACAAACACACACACAGAGCCGGGGTTGAAAGGGGCGGCCGGAGAGTCGTCTACTCCGAAGGTAATCTTGACCATCGACGATCCTTCGACTGCGGATGTATATCCACACCCGAACTCATCTAAAACATGGGTTTGACTGGGTCAACCCTTTTTGGGGATTTTCGTGAGTTCGTGTGTGTATACACCCCCGATCATCTCGAATTATCGTCGTTGTCACTATTCATACGTAGTTTTTGAGTATTATTATGCTAATTCCTGGTGGGTTTTGAGTATGTGGATGTTGCTTGTGTGTATTTGACGTTAAGTATGCTGTTTTAGGTGATTGTTGTTTGTTGATGTGTATGTGGGTCGATTTAATTGAATATCTATGATCTTTGTACTGTTTTTGGTGTATCCGATGCTAAATTTGTTGTATTGAATGATTCTATGATTGAATTGCCGTTTTTGGGTGTCTTTGTGCGGGTGATTTTGACCATGTTGTCTGATTTCTAAGGAAGATGGGATCGATGATGATTATCCCTTTTAAGTAAATAATCTAACAACTTTCAGTCAGCAAATGGTTCTTTCTCTTTCCTTTTACAGCTTGAATTTGATGAAAAGACCGATGCCGTGTGTTGTTGCTATTCTCGATTCTGATTTTACTTTTTGTGGTCAAAGTTTGTGACATTGATGATGGATAGATATTACAGTTCATGAACAGTTCATGATCACTTTGACAATATAATCAAACAGTTATATCAATTCTCCATCCATGTACTAAAAAATAGATGAATTGTTCTTGACCCTTAATGACTTCATTTCAATTATATGCTTCTGATACAGTGAGGTGTGATGTAACAAATCTAAATGCTCGGTTGATGTTTTATGATTTAGTTTACAACCAAATATCTTGTTTCTGATAATCGGTTCGTTAAACTCCAAATTTGAATTTACATTTTCAACTTCAATCATAATTGGATGTAAATGATGTAAACATGACATGGTTATCAGAAAATGTAATCATATTTGGTTATCAAAAGCAATAGATATGTTTTTCTTGTACTTGAAGTAGCTGATTGCATGCTTAGCTTTTGTAAGACAGTTTTCTTGTGCTAGTTCCAGGCTTGTCATGGGTAAATGTTTGGTATCTTGTATAGGTCTGCAACTATTTTTTCCATGGAAAGTGCTTTAAAACTCAATTCCTCGTGGGATGTATTCCGTCTAGATGTAATGTTGAAATAGTAGATGCATTTGAACGATTGCACTTTATCTAGAATTTCATTCTTGCATGATATTTGAAAGTGCTAACTTCTCTTATGATGTCTTGTTGAATTCATTGTTCATTTTTCTGATTTTGGAAATCGATATTGGTGATTTAGAATTTATGTTGAATGCCAGTCTATCTTACACCTTCTCGTCTTCTATGTAGAAACTAATTGTTCGGTCGCAATTTCGGTTCACTTCCACCAAAATTTAGTCTGCAATGTGTCCTCCAGCATCTGTCACTGCTCCTGCAATTGAACTCGATAACTATTGGACAGATGAGGTCGTCTGTAAGTCTTTGGTGCAATTCAAAAGTGGATGCCCCCTGCCTTTGAACGTACTTCCTGATGTGGATCCCTACGAATGCATGCCCTCAAATCTCCCTGGTTGGTATACTGATTTGTTTTTCTACTATATCTTATCGATATTATAAACAATATAATCTTCACTGTAAGCTCAAGTATTTTGGAATCAACCCCATTTGATCATTCTTAGAAACCTGATCTGTTTGTATATTGAAATGATAACCGAGTTGCAGAAAATATGTGGTACTTTTGCTCTGGAACAAAAAAGGATGCAGAACATGGGTTCTGGATGTCAACTGGGGAGGCTTGTGAGATATATTCAACTTCTGTTTTTACTGGTTTGAGAAAGACCCTTCAATTCTATGAAGGCCAAGCACCTAACGGACAAAAGACCAATTGGATGATGCAAGAATACACTACAACTGAGAAGTATAGTAATAAGCTGGTATGAACACTATCCTTTGGCCCCGTGCACCTAATATATGGACGTATTTTTTCTTATTTATATCTTTAATCCGACCTGCTAGTCAATTGCCGGTTTGGTTGGAAAACATGCAGGATTGTAGAGCACTATGCAGGGTATTTTTGGCAGATGATAAGCGTAGTAGTAGAAGACTTTCTGAAAGTGAACTTCTGGTGAGTCGAGTGTATTTTCTTGGCCTCTAGTTTCATGCTATCAACTTTGAAGTTTTCTTCATTGGTTCTGTGTAATATGTAGCTTGTTTTTTTTACTTGAAGAAGCATCAAGATGCCCAAGTTCTTCCTTTCTTTATTTTGGTTTATTACTTTGGGTGCATTTTGTACATGGGATAAGAGAGTACAATACACAATTTTGTAGTCCCACGTTTGACGTGACATTAGATTGGGATAGGATAGGATCTGAGTGGGACCAAAATGCTTTTTTTTTTTCCTGTCCCACCAAACTAGTGGAACAAAAATGAGGGAGATGGGATAAGATTGGTAAATTACTGAAATACCCATGTCAAATTAAAACCCTAAAACCTTCCACAATTTTGTCACCGGCTTACCTCAGTTTCGCCCATCCAGTCTTGTCCATGTGCCAAACATACCCAAATATAAACACACTGAATCCCTACTTACATTCTCGTGTTTAGACTGTTATGTGTTAATGGCGTTTAATATTGTCAATGGGATTCTCGGAGTATCGTCATGTGTAGGCTTTAATCTGATCTGCTAATGCCTTGTAGGAAAAGCGTATGGATGATGGAACAGGAGCATCAGCCATGGCTAATACATCTCCAGATCCACCATCAGCCATGGCTGATACATCTCCAGATCCACCATCGGCCATGGCTGATACATCTCCAGATCCACCATCAGCCATGGCTGATACATCTCCAGATCAACCATCAGGCATGGGTAATAATAGATCTCCAGATTGGCCTCCTGAAAATATCCCAGACAGAGAATATGTTTTAATGGGCGATTACTTGGAGTTGGATGATCTTGCTGCTTCCATTTCACATTCATCCAGTTCTGCTGATTCAAGTTGTATGACTATGACATCAGAAGAATTTTTCGACCCAGTTGCCCTAATGCGTGAACTAGGGGATGACATTGTACACCAGGAGGTTCAAGATTCAAGTGTCAAGCTCAATCTCTCTGCACCAACAAAGTTAAAAGAAGTGATCATGGATCCGACCACTTTAGGTATGCCATATCTTTTCTTTTCTCTATTTTCCGCAAGTGTCCATGTTGGTTTAATTGTAGAATATTTTTAATGTAACTTGTGCTGTGTTGGTTTAGTTGTAGAATAAGTTAGTTTAAGCGACAACAGAACTATATTAGAACCTGAAAGTGGTAAACTAAGATGCATAATTCTTAGCTATGAAATTTTGTGATATATGAGTTATGTAATTATGTTTGAACAAAGCAAATGAGATCATTTGTTGAAGGATCAACACATGGAAGCAAATAATGTAAAGTGTGGATTAAATCAAGTGAATATACCAATAAATGGTTTAGGAATTATATGACTTCCATGAACTTGCGGTCTAGAAGCTACACAATTGAAGTCCATCTTCACTCTGCTCGATTAACAAGTTCTCTAATAAACACACATGCAAATGGCACAGGTTCAATAGCTGGTTTATTGGAAATTTGTTATCTTGGATCCATATCTCACATCCTTGTGTGATTTTGTACCCACAGGATTTTGTGACGATGGTAAAGAGTGCAAACCTTCTATAACACAAGCCTCCAAAACGGACGACACACCTCAAAACGAGCCAGGAGATGATAGAAAGGAAAGCACCTCAAATGGTATCAACACGACAGCAGCAGCAGCAGCATCCAGCAGTTCGGAGGAAAAGAAAGATCGTGGTGGTGGAACCAAGAAGCGTAAGGTGATGAAGTATCTGTGTTTCTTGGCGTTCTAAATCCATTCGTTAGGCCCTCTTGAGTGTTTTAAGATTATGGTTTGATGATGATCATTTCTTGAACCTTGAAAACCATTTTTCACATTGACGCAACTACCGAAATGAGGTGGTTTTGAGTATGAATGAATGTATAGTATGATATAATACATTACATGTAGAGATTTGCATATTAGACAAGAGCAGGAGGGATAGCAAGATTGTTTGTAATATGTAAATAGGGTGTAGATTATTTAATATATATATTTATATATTTATATATATATATATATATATATATATATATTATATGTAATATATTCATGTTGGATGAAATTTCCAGATTTAGATTAATATGAATATGTAAATAGTATGAAGAGATTGATGTATGTCTTTGGGATTAAATTGTTGGTCCATTTGTGTTTTTGGTTATCTGATGCTTCAGTTTTTGTTCAAGTGGTGTGTTTGGTTTGGCTGTCAACACTTTTTATATACAAACATGGTCTCAACACCAACATGTTCGTGGTATCACGTTATGTGGTACCAAGCAATTTACTAAACACTAACTTGGTAAGTACTTACCGGATAAATTTTTTTATCCGATGAAAATGAGAAGGGTCAAGAATCTTACCGGGTAAGAGTGATGAGAATGATGGAGAGTCATATCCGGTAAGTGAGGATGACGACTCTTATCCTTCTCGTGTTATATTTATAACATATGTTGTAAAATAATCTCTTTTCTAAAAAAATCAGTTGTAAAATAATAAATTTCTTATCTTGTGTGCAAATACCGGACAATACCGACATAAATTATTATTAGATTTGAAGCACAATACGATGAAAGTTGTAAGTTGTGCTCGGTAGGATATGTATCTCTGTTACTATATGAGAACATGTTCAACATCTTTAAAACTAGTGTGAGAACATGTTCAACATGTCAGGCAAAATAAGTATATTTCACTCACTTTACTATTCACTCTGCATACAAAAGCATGGATGAAGACTAGACCAAAATACTTTGGGACCAAGTCTCCAACCCATGACCTTGTATGGGAACATGCTTAGCATGTTACGCAAAGCAAGTTCAAAAGTACTATTTTATTTACCATACGTTCTTTAAACTAATATAACCTAAATATATTTTCTGCTGCATTTTTAAGGTTACAAAATTGTTTTAAAACCCCACACTTAACTATAATTGTTTCTCACATGTAAACTGTAGAAAAATATTATCTTTGTGATGTTACTTATGTCAACATTCGTGGATCTCTGACTCCATATAGCAATATGAGATATTGGTTAGTGATTTTCGACGTCAACGTGCGTTGACTAAAGTAGAAAGGTTCAATCATGCCCATGCACAACTTAGAAATGTTATCGAGCGTGCTTTTGGTGTATTGAAAGCAATATTCCCAATTTTGAAGCAAACGACCTCGTATCCTTTTCGAATACTAAGAAACATTGTAATTGTTTGTTTCACAATCCAAAATTTTATAAGAAGATGCAATATACAAGATCAATTATTCATGGATTACGACAATAACTCCATGTTCGTTAATGAAGCCCAAGAACAAATTGAGGGAAGCGAGGAAGAAGAGATGGGTGCAACCCCCTGGGGTCCCTAAGACAATTAGTACATGAGTAATTTGTATGATGAAATTGCAAATCAGTTGGTGTTAAATGCTTCAAATTAGATGTTGTACACAAAAAATTGTGTTTTGCATGGCATGTGATGTTTTGTTAAGGCAAAACTTGAACAACTATTGTTATGTTTGTTCGAATTGATATGATATCATGTATTGTCTTACATTATTATTTATTTTCTATTTTTCATTAAAAAGTTCATTTAGATCCCTTCTCAAACGTTAGTTTTCATTCAACACAAGACTGCAGGTAAAATGGTAATTTAAAGTCATTCAAACTGTTCATTCATAATTGTTTCCAAAATAATCATTTTCTATCTAGCACTTGAATCATACATAGCATTTTAATCATTCTGCACGAAATGACTCTAAAACTACCAAATAACCCCTAAGCCGACTTTTCATCAACCACTTGTAATCCTAAATGTTAATTTAACGGAATTGTTTTTTTTTTTTGAATAATCTGGATATCGAACCCGTTATGCGAGCAGACCAATCCCAGGGCGACCATTTGTTTTGCAGATAGCCCGGAGTCACCGCATTTGAACCTCCGTGACCACAAAAGGATTTTTATTCCTCTTTGGATTTGAACCTGGGACCTCCAGGTACTTTTGACCTTTGGAGTCAAGCTCAAACCAATCAGGCACCACCCTTGTGGTTTATTTAACGGAATTTTTGTGATTAATATATGCGGACATCATAAGAAGAGGCGTAAAGTGACTCTCAAAGTTTGTTTTAATACGAGAGATCTTAAGAAGACAAAAACATCTACCTTCGTGAACTTTATCTATCAGAAGGATACCTGTTGGGTCACCTATTGATTTGGTGATGACCCACTGATCTGTTCCTCTACCTTAGCAACACTTAGTAGTTATTGGTTCTTTGTAAATTGGTGTCTTGGTACATACTTAAAGCCATTGGCAAAATCGAAGACTAGCCGATGTGAAGACAGAAGGTCACCGATGCGGTGTTGTGGAT